GGAAACAAAATGTGTAATGTGGCAGACCTTAATTTCCTTATCACTTTTATTCCAATAGTGACTTGCTGCTTAATTTCTTTGTGTACTTCATCTTTGGGGCATTTTCTGATAGTAAACAAAACAAGGTACCAAGCGCTCTCCAGAGTGCTGATTGCTTCAGCAAAACAGACAAGCACCTTTATATCAGAGTGCTTGTTTTGTCAATATGACGAAATTGGGCAACACAGGTAATAACAATACTGAAGCATAAAGAATGCGGTTTATACTTAGAAATCTATATACACAGAATCTAACATGACAAAGTAACTTATGTGTTATGCATGATTTGAGATGGTAGTTCACTGCATGGAGGCACTCTTAGATTTAAAAGAGAATACACATAGTGATAGTTCACACAGCATGCAGTGATGAGCAAAACCTTGCATGCATGTTCTGTGCTGTCAAATTGTTTCTGAACTTACATGTCCTTCACAGGGGCCTCAAGGTATGTGAAATATTCAAGGAATAGTTTACCATTGCCAACACATACATCCTCAGTTTCCATGGGTAAGTAAGGGTTTCCTGAGTCCTAGTCTAACACTTTGTCCGCTACACTGCACCAGCTTGCTGCTTAATATATACACCTTATCACTGTGAATGTATTAAGCATTGGTGTCTCCTGTCTCATCTTTCTGGCATGGGTGTGCATCTGACACATGTGGCCATTGGACAGAGAAAGAAACAACAGCCAGGTATCCTTCCACCACAACTGGATCTAGCTAAGAATTTCTGTCAATCCAGTTTCCTGCTGTCCTCACTGGTTGTAAGGGAGAGATTGGAAAAAGAAAGGAAAACAAAACACAACACCATTGTGTCTAGGTGTTGGAATCTTTTTTTTCCAGTTTTTTCCACCAGGATTTCATGCTGTATATTAACTATTGCAAACTACTTTGGGACTACTTCGGGACTGAAATGTGGGGTTGGTGTGTTTGTGTTTGTACATATAAATATTTTTATATACTTGTAAGAATCACTAACAAACAGAAGTATTTAAGCAAAATACTTCTGTTGGAAGCCAAAACATTTTGCTTAAATACTTCTTTTAGTTAGTCACTCTTACAAATGTACCTTTATTTTAATTATTAAAACAGATCCAGAAAAACCTGATTGAAGTGCTCTTTAGTTCTTTTTTATGTGCACATGAAAAAAGCAAAACAGCCGGTAAGACTTACTGCAAATGGAGAAGCTAATCAACTCATCTCACAAACATACAAGTAAATGTCACAATGAATATTCAGTATACCACCTTCCTGAGAAACAGTTCTATATAGCTTGAAAGCCATATTTGGTTTTTTTAAAGTAATAGTAACAGATGTAGTACACAACTCTGAATTTTGCTTCTATTCATGCATCATACGTTCTCTTTTTATTTTGAGGGATCTTGTGGCCGACCATTCTGTTACTTTAAAGTGACAGGATTTAGCATCAAGAGGTAAAGCAAGAAGCTGACACTTACTTGCATTTAAAGTTTAAATAGTGGTAGCTTCTTGCTTTACCTCTTAATCATGCTACATGATGAACTGTATGTGTGGATCAGCTACCGTGGATCAACTGCTGCTACTCTAACTTCCATTATCACCACACGGCCTCTTAAACAAAATACACTGGAAATAGCTGTGAGCTTGGCTAGCTTGGTCTCTTTGACAAGAACTTAGAAAAATGAATGTTAGCAATTTTTAATGATTGCAGATGGTCCCTTGAATAGGTAATTCACTTATGGAGGCTGAGTGCCTACACGTTGATGTTAAAGGGACCAGTGTCTGAAGGGAAAGGAGAGAGAGACCAGAGGGTTTCTAGCTAGGTAGCTTCAACTGAATTGCCTAATATGGGGGATGAGGCAGCACAAGTTGCACCTGAGGGATTTGTTGTCTGTTGTATGGGTGCCAATTTGGTTCTTCAATCCATTATTTTTGGTGCTTTAAGATTTCATCTACACTGCTCATTTTGGAGCAGGGTGGTGCAGGCTAAATAGGATAACTTGGGTTGGGTAGATATATGATATGCCATTTGATGTGATTCTTGCATCCAAATGTCATATTGAAGCTGAAGTTGAAGAGGTTTGCCTCTTTCCATTTTGAATGTTCAATATCACGAAGTGGCTTAATATGTAAGCCACTTTAGGATATCTACAAATTGAACACTTCCTCCGCTCCTTGGTGAAGGGAGAGGGAACTGATTTTTTTTGAGACACTGATGCACCATTGCTGATGTGCTGATAATTATTATTTTTTATTAATTCATTGTTATTTTTTTTCTTTGCTGTGTCTTAAAGAACTAGTTGAAAAACTGCCCACAGATTCAGCTGTAGCTCAGCCGGCCCTTCAGATAAAGCAAAGAAGAAAATACTTTAAAATTATTTAAAAGTGATGCAGTGCATCAGCAATGGTATAAAATGTGGTTGGGGGGGAATTAACTTCCCCTCCCTTCCACTGAGGAGCAGAGGAAATGTTCAATATGATGATATCCTGAAGTGTGTCTCTTATTAAGCCACTTCACAATATCAGAAGTTCAAAATGGAAGAAGCCTTGATAGACAGAAGACTTGCTTTTGGTCCATTCCCTGCTATTACTTGCACTAGAAACAGACCAAGCTAGAGAGATCCTACCATATCAAAAAAAAAGTAGAAGCCCCTGACAGGGGCTCAGAAAGGAGCAAGAAGGAATACTCTGGGGATGTTTTGATTCACTCCAGTAATTATGTCATGCAATCACTAGAAAAAAGAGTGGCAACCCATCCCCAAAGTGGGCCAAACAGTAGGACAAATGCCTGTCTGATTGCTCTCTTTCTCTTGCTGTTTGGAAGTATGGAGCATATACTGTATATATACTTCATATAATTAACTATGAATGCCATCCTGTATGTATCAGCAGCAACGCCTATAGTTTTCACTTACATTTTTTATTTGCAGAATACACGTGTAAAGAATTGCAGAGAACCAGGGTTGATCAGTTGTTCAGTTCCAGGAGAATAATAGGCCAATATAGTTATGGTCCAGGAATGCGCAATACACTGGAAGCGCTGTGAACTGTATGGATACTGTTTTGTTTTTTCAAGATGTAACGCATCTTGAGAACTGTTGTGACATATATGGTTGGGACATAAAATTTGTAAATAAATGTATTTAGGGAAAACATTGCATGTGAAATGGTTGTGAACATTCATTCAGATTGTGTTTGGAGAATTTTCTGATTTACATGACCAGTCTAATGTGTGAGCTAGGACTTGGCATTCATCTTTCTTATAATAATAAATATAATAATTTATTGCGGCCATATGACCCATACAGAAATGGAAGCCAAACAGCACAAAAGAGAGAAGAATGAAGGGGGTGGGGGGAGAAAAACAAGGAGCATCTTTCCTGTAGTGTAATTGTGATTCTGATGTTTCAAAACCGTACAAGTTATCATGCCTTATACAGTGGGGTCTTGACTTGAGAACTTAATCCGTATTGGAAGGCGGTTCTCAAGTCAAAAAGTCTGTAAGTCAAGTCTCCATTGACCTACAGTGCATTGAAAACCGATTCATCCCGTAACAGGCCGTTTTTGTTCCATTTTGTTTTTTTTCTGGTCTGTAAGTCAAATCTCAGTCTGCAAGTCAAACCTAAATTTTGCGGCCAGAGAAGTCTGTAACTCAAAAAGTCTGTAACTCAAAAAGTCTGTAAGTCAAGGGTCCACTGTATACATTTCTCTCATAAAATAATACTGTAAGTCAAAAATAGAAAGTTGTTCAGGAGCAGTTCATGAACTGGATGGGGGAGCCTTCGCTCCCAATTTTCAGGGGGATGCCTCCCACCCTGATAACAAACCACTTATGGATGCAATTAAGTTGTGAACCATTTGATTTGTCTGGTTTTCTTTCTGCTTGCAATATTAGTTTTTCTTCCACTGGACCTTCATCTACTTGTTTTTGATTATCGCTCTGCTGCTTCCTTCGTCCAAGTCTTGCCCTCTCCAGTTTCCCACACAGGGGCTGGGAGGATACCCAAAACAAACACCTTGGATCTGAATATAGACAGGGGAAGAATGTGTGTGGTGTTGTACTATTTAACAAGGAAGGGCTGTAGGACAGCAACAAACTATGACAACAATGAGCTCCTTAAGTTTTTATGGCTCTGTGACATGTTGGGTTTTTCAAATGATTAAAATTATCTGTACTTTCAGAGGCTCGGATAAAATAGCACATGGTGTAAAAAAAGGTTACCTCAAATTCTCAAGCCCTCACTATCCTCTAAATTGTAACGTTTTGCAGAGTCTAACACCGACTCAAGGCAAAACAGAATCAGCAATAAATGGACAACGTCCTTCCTTTGAAGACTGGGAATCTGGGCTGAAAAATGTCTAGTATCCGATTTTACGTGTACAAAAACATATTTAGAGAATTAACCTTTTTTAATTGTCCTACTCTTACCATACTAAGGTCGAAATCAGATGTTTATTATACATGTATGTACAAATATATACTGTGTATGTATATTTATAAAGAAAAGGTGCATACATATACATATGTATACGCGTACACATATACAGTACACACCTATATAATAAAAATCAACTTTGACTTTAGTACCGTAAGAGCAGGACAATTAAAAATGGTTAAGTCTCCAACTATCTCATATACCGTATTTGTAAAAAGACACCCCCTTCGTAGGTTCGTTGGGAGTTTTTCTTAACAGGGAATAACCCTCATGATGTTGTGATGGTGGTGGGAGCAAGACAGGAGATAAACAGAGAGCGCGGCGGGCGCCAGCTGAGAAAATGGAAAGAATAGCGGGAAACCTTCGCGAGGGCGGGGGCGAGCGAAGACCGAAGAGAGGGCGCCCCCCGTGCCGCCGAGTCCACGCTGTACTTTCCTGTCCTCGCTCTCGGCACGTCCGCCACCCCTCCCGGCCCCTTTAAGAAGCTCGCGCCTGCGCCTTGCCGACTTCTCGTCCCCTCGCCCCCGAGGCCTGAAGGAAAAAAACAACAACACATACACCACAACGGGGTAAGGGAAAGCGGGAGGGGGGGGTTGACGGTGGAGGTCGTCGTTTTACGTCACGTGTCTTCCGCGCGGGCGGAGCGCGCGAGAGGGTGCTTTAGATAGGAGCGTACGCAGGCGCGCGCGCCTTAGCCTGTTTGCTGGTGCG